ATCAAGGCCAGGGCGTGGTAGATGGCTTCGCATGCAGAAGTCGCAGGTCTAAGGCGAACATCTTATCCAAAGTGGACCGAGCATAACAGATAAGGAACATCCGAATATCCCGACAGTTAGGGAGTTCTCCTAAAACCCAGACCGTGTTCTCCTTGAATGTAACAATGCACTTCAGCCATGCCCCCACAGGATGACGCTAAGGTAGGCAGCGATATCATATATATATATATATATATGACAAGCTCTCTTTGGACGAACTGGTTCAGGACCGCAAGCCAAATTTCCCGGTCCGCACAACTCCGACACCCAAACCCTAAATCCACTTCAAACCCAAACGAAGACTGCAAGGCCCGAAACGGGACTCAGAGTCTTTCATGGTTTCGATGTAAGGTGAGTTTGGTTTGCTTACGGGTCCCGCAGCAAGCATTCACGGTTGGAGAGCTTAGGGTGTGGCCTGCTGCTATAAAGAGTGGGGGATTCAGCGTCTTGCGTTTTTCGAATCCACCCTGAACCCGGAGCCCGAAACCCTAGACCCTAAACCCGGAACCGGAAACCCTAAACTGGCAACCCACCAGACCGCCCACTTCACGGAGGGCGTCAGCAAGTTGCAGCTCGGGCCTGCGTTTACGTGTTGAGGTTCAGGGTTTACGGCTTCCTCGCTGAACCCAAGTGCTTCAGGTTCAGAGCTTGGGATGCCTCCTGTTTCGGGGTTTTGGTTTAGGGTGTTAGGGTTTAGGGTTTAGGGTTTAGGGTTTTTCTGCACAGGGCTTTCAGTCTTAGGTTCAGCATTAAGTGCAGGAGGCAGGATAGTAAATTGGTCCTCATGGTCCTGTCACGCGGACCGATCCCAAAGCATTCGTATACTATGTTCTGACCCGCCTTGGGGGCTGATTCGTGGCCCGAGCGAATTTGCGCCACAGGGTTTAGGTTTCAGGATGGATACGGGACTGCTGGGCAGTATCAGGGAGGCCCCTTAGAGGGGACCCTTCTTAACACTACTTCTGGCTCTCCTGAATTGAACCTGATTGAGAGGGTCTATATCCCCAAGGGTCCCTCAAATCCTAACTCCAGGGATGTCCACATGTTGGAAAACGACGGAACAGAATCCGAGAATCAGGAAGACGGGCATCACCACAGAGCTCCGAGACTGCGAAAAGGAGGCAACGACTTGGTCTGTCGTTTGAGGCAAAGTTTCGTGGTTTAGGTATTTGGGGTTCAGGGTTTTGGGTTTTAGGGCCAGCTGATTCCATGCTTTTCAGGAATGAGGAAGTTCGGAAGTGGAGGCATTGTCCATTCAGGAGATCAGGATGAAATGTAAAGCTGTTCGGAATTGCCTTTGTTTTGCTAGCCTTTTGGAGAATCACACCTGCGAGGTGCGATGTTGAAGGTCCTATCGAATATTTCCTATCCTGGAGGTGACAATATGTCAGGGTCCCTGGGAATCACCATGGCCTTGGCTCAACAGGCTTCGGGCTCATTGTGCATGTGGAGAACTCGAAGGGCTTACAGTTCAGAGCCTGCTGTTTCAGCGGGCACATCTCTATTGAAACTGTGGATTCTGAATCCGATTTCACTGGGGCCGAAGCCACTAAACTGCACTATCCTTAAATACGCTTCGCATGATATCTTTTCCTACAAGCCGACAGCCCATGAAACCTGGTAACTTTCCGCAGCCGTGAAGCCCTGAGATCATAGCGAACTTACCGAGCTACCTTCCATCTTCAGATCATCACCAAGGCGATTTTTCACTCCAGCCGTCCTTGACATCATCGTCTAAAGCCCTGAACCCTAGGAATGAGCCCGAATGCGAAATCCTAGCCCAAATCATCCCTAAAACCTAATCCTAGACCCTAAACCCAACATGAAAGACCTAAGCTTAAACTCTACACCCCAAAGCCCTGCCCTCGTTCAGATCATCATCAAGAAGATGGGCAAGTGGCCGAACGAGAAGCTCTTCCCTGTAGTCGACCTCTGGGTTGGTATCCCAGAACTGTATATAAGGCTTTGCGCCTACGCTGTGAGAGGGTTAGGGCTAGGGTTTAAGGTTTAGGGTTCAGGTTTTAGGGTTTCAGGTTTACGATTTAGAGCCCATGTGCGCTCTTCTCATATTGGGATGAGTGCACACTAAACACGAAACCCTTATTACTTCTTCTTGAAGGGGCATCGGGGAACCTGGACTTTACGCAAGGGTATTAGGGTTTCGGGCTGCCGGGTTTCATTGTATCAGGTGAAGGGCTTGAGGGTTTGGGGCTTTCGGGTTTAGGGCTTCTGCGGCTTTTAGGGCTTCGGGCTTGGTCTAAGGAGCTGGGGGCTTTCTAGGGCTGGTAAAGCTTTAACAGTCTTAGGGCTTCAGGGGTTGAAGCTGTAGTTGGGCATGTCGGCCTCCCAGTAGTACACGGCAAAAACCAGTGCGACCGGTCTCATTGCGCCGAAGTTGGAGCGGCGAGTAAGGAACCCCTAGATCCCTTGAAGGAACTCTCACCCTGAAACTTCCCTAAACCCTAAGCCTATTGTATAGCCACCCTTATCGTAACACCTGATCCCTTGAAGGAACCCTCTGAGTTTCCGAAATAGGGGACCCTAATATAGTTCCCTAAATAGCAGGATCCTTATTCTCAGGACCCCAAAATAAGGTACCCCCAAATTTTCGGAAACTCCAAACCCTAAACCCCTTTATAGAACCCTTATAGATCCCTTTAAGGAACCCCTATAGATCCCCTTAAAAAAGGAACACCAAAATAAGGTACCCCCTAATTTTTCAAGGGAAGCTTTAGCCCTTGCCGCTTGCTCAGCGCCTCTTCCTCGCGCACCCCAACAGCTCCGACCTCTTCAAAGGACCGAAGCTTCTGAGGGCCAGAGAGGTTCCCAGAGCCTCCAAAACCCCTTAATTAGGGAATATACCTTAAATCCTATAAGGGATCCTATTATAATTTAAGGTATATTCCTTAATTAAGGGGTTTTGGAGGCTCTGGGTTACTGTCGGGCTGCTATATGGGCTCATATTATGGTACCCTTATCGATCCCTTATAGTAACCCTTATAGACCCCTTTATAAGGCCCCTTCCATTCCCTACTAACCAAATGCTATATGGGCTACTGGAAGCGGGATTACTATGAGTGTGAGGGCTTAGGGTTCTGTGCCTGGTTGCTCTGCAGCTCGGATGTGTTCTTCGCAGTTGGAGGCAAAGGCTCGCCCGGTTCGAACACTGGGACTCGGTCAGAGTCATGCAGCAGTCGGGGTTTCCGTTTTTTTGTTGCAGTGCTTCGGGCCCGCCGGCATCTTGACATTCGCGAGCGGATGATTATGACGATGATGATCATCACCATAAACATGTCACTAAAGCAGCTGCTGTTGATGATGGTGACGACGATAACGACGAGGACGGCGGAGGAGGAGGAGGAGGAGGAGGAGACGATTGAAGAGGTTGAAGATTAGGAAGAGAGAGAGAGAGAGAGACAACGACGACAGCGGCCGTGACTACCTCAACATCTATGCTGCTTTTAATTTTTGTAGTTGGCTTATACGACCTTATTACCACACTTGCGCACGCACCATACTCCTATGCACGGCGTGTGCAACCACCGCATGCGCCGCAAGGAAGCCTTGTGTAGAAGTCATATGTTGACATGAAGGATCCGATCGAGGAACGGCCTACATCATGCAGGCAGGGCAAGATACGATGTCTCTCCTGCAGCGAGACCCGACCATCAAGAATTCGCAGCACCAGCCCTGCAGTCTAGTCTCGTCAAGCTCATGCCTCAATCCGGATGTGAGCCCAATTTAGCAGAGCGTTCTGAGATGCAACCTGCAACAAATCTCAGAGGTTGGTCCTTACACCCCTAGGACACATTAATCGAACTGCAAACAGTCAGAGTCAGATCTGTCAGCCGCCGCTACATTCGGCCAAGATACCGCTTTGTCGAGCCTCAAAACCCTGGACACTGATGCCCAAATCTTACCCTCGTGACTGTAAGGAACTGCTTTCAGATGATGCTTCCCATGGTGTCGTCCCGCCATACCTTCGCTTGGCGAAGAACCCGAACCGCTTCAGGAGTTGCTTGAGAGCGTGCCCAATTCAACAAACCCTACTGTTGAACAAAGCCCTACATTTGCGCTAGGTCTTGGGCTTGCTGTCGTCGGACATCAACGGACCGTTGGGTCTGTGCGCGGCCAGAGACGCGGCAGCACGAGTCCAGTCAGATCTTGGAGCATAAGAAGTGCCTCCTCGAATAGAATTTAGTACTCAGGTCCTGTTTTCAAGGCACTTGCCATCAGTAAGTCTAATTACATAAACAGTCACCTCCATGGAAACACGCGTTTACACAAACCCTCGAGTCATTAATTGTGGGAGGTTTTGCTAGCGCAAAGAGCTCAGGATACCTGGCGAATCTGTTCATCTACCAGACCAATAAGTGCGCCAGTGTGTTGGATGTCCTTTGCTGTTCTTGGCCATTTATGGCGCTTCCACGTTTCCATCATCAGAAGCAGCAGCGCTATCGCAGAGTGACAGGAGCAAGCCCAAATCAAAATAGCTACAGGGATCTGAATAAATACGAGTCACAGTCTGTTCTACTCTCTCTCGTTCGCTCTTTCTCTTTGTCTTTCTCTCATCTTTCTCTCTCTTCTCTATCTCTCTCTCTCTCTCTCTGTCTCTCTCTGTCCCTCCCTCTCTCTTTGTCCGACCGTCCGTTCTGTTCGTCGGTCTTTCTGTCTGTTTGTTTGTGTGTCGGTCTGTCTCTCGCTCCCTCTCTCTCTCTCTATCTCTCTCTCTCTCTCTCTCTCTCTCTCTCTCTCTCTCTCTGACTCACTGACTCACTCACTCACTGTCTCTCTCTCTCTCTCTCTCTGTCGCTCTCTCTCTCGCTCTCTCTCTCTCTCTCTCTCTCTCTCTCTCTCTATCTCCGTCTGTAAGAAAATGTGTGTGTGTGTATGTGTATATATACATATATATATATATATAACTGTAGCTGGGCTCTAAGATGCAGGCGCCCAAGATTGCCATGCAGAGGTACGCTGCCTTCGACAAGCGCGAACAAGTGCTGAAAGGGATCGAAGCCGCGCTGGGATCGACGAACAAGCACACTAAGGCCCCAGAGGGATGCGCCATCTAGAGGAGTTCAGGGACATGTCGGAGATGAAGACGTCATTCCCGGAAGACTGGTTCTGAGCCTGGGTACATATGCGTACGCGTGTCGGGTTGACATGCGCGGTCCCCTGACACCTTGAAATTTCATAGCCGTGCCTCAGTTTTCCAGCCGCCCCACCCTCCATCCTCGAATAACACCTAGGCGTGTTGTGCAGAAGCAGAACCGCTCTCTGTCCCGAAGCAGCTTTCGCCCCGACCCCAGTAACTTGAGAAGGAAGCCACCGCAAATTGAACAAGCACTAATCCGAAGCCGCAATCTTTATAGCCCGCTGTTCCCTTATAAACGCCCTTCCGGTCAAAAGTAGACCGAACCTGCGTAGGCCGGCCCAGGCTGCTAAACAACTGCATGCCAGGTGCCAAGGCCCTGCAGTCGAAACCCCTCCGCCTCGAAGCCAAGGCTATATCCTAAAGTTCTAAACCCTCATTGTAAAAAATAAATAAAATAAACCCCTCAATGTAGTTCTTTATCGCAGCTCCTGTAGAAACCTCTTTTTCAGTACCCTTCAAGCATCCGAAACCCTCATCTGAGCCCCGAGCTTCTGGTCAGTTGGCATGCACGTCGGTCTTGCTCAACATGGCCATTGTGCTGTACGAGAGCAGCCAACCCGTTCGGCTGACTCGTCTTCAGGGCTTGAGGACTTCAGGAGGGCAAGGTGGGGCTTTTTATAAACAGGATAACTATACTTGCTGTTACTATAAGCACCGAATAACCTACTTCTAGCCTTCCTTACTAAGATCCTCACAGTAGCTTTCCGCAGAAGGTATTGCGGTTATTTCAGCTCGATTGAAGACGGTGCTTCCCACGGTATTTCATGGCTTGCAGCGCTTCTCGGACGGAATTTGAGTTCGGACTTTAGGCTTTGTGGCTTGCGAAAACTACCCTTATGCCTGCCTGGAGCCGAACAGATTCTGGCTCGGGGTTCTCTTCAGGAATCATTCAAGGGCTCGTTCAACGAATCCTACCCAGGCTCTGCTTTGACTTCCAAGGTTCACGCCCTGCGTTGTTTAATCACAACATGTGACGTTCGGTCTCAGATGTTGAAGGCTGTCGTCTCTCGGAAGTGTGCGATCGGGCATGGAGATCTACGTGAGAGTTTGCGAGGGACAACCTCCAGCCCCAAGTCCAGATGTCAGATGCTGAACGCTCCTAGCCTGACACACGCATTTGGGCTGAGACCATTTGCAGGCTTTCGCATGGAGCGTACCGGAAGGTGATATCTTATGGAGGCCCATGAACATAGAATACACCCTAGGTTTTATGATCCCCAAGCCTGACATGTCCGGACCCCAGTCAATCCAAGTATGAACTTCTCGCCTATGCCTCCTGATGTCTCTCTAGTGGAGTTTTGGGTTATTGGGTTTAGGTTTTTCCAGACGCGCTTATTTCGCAAAAGGTTGTGTGAAGAGAGCAAGATTTGCTGATGTGCGAAATCTTAGACTCCTATATCGACGACCTCAGGTCTATGCCACATACAATGAAAACCACTATAAAGCCCTATTCAAACCCAAGGCCAACCCTTTCCGTTCAACCCCATCTTCCCTAAACCCTCCCTTGGCAACCCTGGCAGCCGAAAGCCCTGGATGAAGCTTCTGCGTTGCGGGTCACCCAATTGGCCCTCGGTTTCCTAGACAAGGCATCTGGGAGGAGGGGAGGGGCTCAGGGTTTAGGGTTTAGGGGTTTAGGGTTTAGGGTTGAGTGGTAGGGTGGGCTGGACCCCCACGTGGTGGCCGGACGTTCCTTGCTTCAGGGTCTTGGCATTTAGTCTTTGTGCCTTCGGTGTTCAGGGGTTGGTGGATTCGGGGACCGTAAGGTTGAGTTGAAGCATGGAGTTGTGGTAGTCGGATTCGAAGGCCCAACGGGTCAGCGCATGATTTTGAATCACATCCGGCAACAGGGCTATGAAAATCTAGAAGGAAAATCGCCAACGTGTTGTGTCACTGGCATCACTATGAGCACTCCATCGGTGGTAAAGCCTAGACCCTGAAGCCTTGAACCCTAACCCTGACGGGAATAGCATTGCCCCTAGCTGAAACGGCCCCGAGGCTTCTGAAGAGGAGGACGCCAGGCATCGTGCAATGCTTGCCATTGGTGCTGTACTCAGATGCAAATCTTCCTTCGGTTTGGGGCTTCGGGTTTGGGATTGCACTTTCGGCTTTCCAGCTTTGATGCGCTCCCGGCGTGATGTTTCCGCTGGGGAGATTCTGCAAGGTTCAATCCTGCCGCGCGACAAGGGTGCGATCGTGGCCGAGTGCTTCTCGGTGGAAAAAGCTGACTTCCTGTGGAAGGATTGATTGTAGCCTTGCCCTACATCGGGCCAATCCCACGAACAACTCAGAGAGAATTCGGGAAGCGAAGCAAAATGACAGCGAAGGCTGCTAGGTTCCCAGGATTTTGTTGTGCTTGCGTTTCAGCATCCAATATTTGGATTTGACGACCCCTAAGCCCTAAGCCTCAACCAGAACAGATCATGGGAGTTGGAATCATTACTGCTCTTACAGTCCCTTTCGTCTGTACTTTAGCAGAGCGTATGCCTACCCCCACATACCGAATCGGATCCATGAAGGCCCGTATATTCGTGAGGGGAAGTTTTTCGACTCAATGTGGGAGTCGAGGCCTCACGTCCGAACTGTCAGACAAGGGCCAGGAGACGTTTTGCGGAACCCTAAGCCCCAAACCTTACGACAAGACTGATGATACGTTGCAGTTAGTGGCAGTAATGGTGGCGGTAGGAGCAATCACACGATCAGTGATCTGAACCATCCCAAAACCCTTAGTGACGCTAAGCATGAGCCGTCTAAGGCAAGGCCGCAAACTTCCTGGGCAAAGTCTCCAGCTTGGAGGAGAAGGCCGATACGAAGAGGGGGAAGTTGCTTGCAATGTAGGGCCATACGAAGTAGAATGGGGTTTGGGGCGAGAAAGCATATGCTCTATAGTAGGAACCCTAAGGGGCAATGATGGAGCTCAGGAAGGTAGTGTTTCAGGGTTTAGGGCTTAATTGTTTGGGTGTTCAAGGGTTTATATATAGAGTTCAGGGTGGAAGGCTCGGGGTTGAAAATTTGGGAGGATGTTTCAGGGCTTACTGCAAAGAGGAGGCTTGGGTTTAGGTTTTGGGGTTTAGGGCTTACGGGTTCAGAGGTTTAGGTTTGAATATTTGTGAGTTGAGTTTAAGCAGCAGTTTCTGCAGTAAGGACATCTCAGCTTTGTGGGTAGGCACCCGTGCACATGCCTACTAAGTTCTTGGCAGGGCCTCTCAAGTCTGGGCATCGGGACATGTTGTGCTCTTCCTGAGCTCGTCGGGCCAACAAATCCTCTTACTTCTCGGAAAGCTGCCAGGCTAATCACAGATGTTCTAGGGTTTAGGGTTTAGGGTTTTGGGTTCTGAACAGCGTTGGACAATTCTTTAATTAGATGCTTTCGAGCTTACTTGAATGAGGATCAAGGAGCCAGGAACTAGAACGTGAAGAGGACTGGATGCCGCCAACACCATGGTAAGCAAATCCTGATCTTGGAGGCAAAGACCCCATGTATGCGTAGCGAAACCGTAAATCCCAAACCGCCCGAAGCCCTGGCACCTTCAACCCTTTTGAGCTAATCCCAGCCCTACACATTCAAACCCTAAACCGGCAGTTATAGTAACCTCTATAGAAACCGGTAAACTACCTGGAAAGGAACTCTAGAAATACCGTTCAACCTAAAAGCCCTCGGGCTCTGCCAGTTGGGTGCCGCGGCCTCTGCCGAGTTGCGGAGCTTCATTGGTGGATGAAGCCAGAAGATGCAAAACAGAACCGGTCTTTGCAGTCAAGGGGATAGGGTGTAGGGTTTGCGGTTCAGGGTTTGAGGTGTAGGACTGAGGGAGCCATCCGTACCAGGGCCTGCTTTCGGACGTTCATTTTCCAAGTGACATGTTGGAGTCTCTGGATGTGTTAGGGATGTGCAGAGGAAGGCCTGTTCAAGCGTTTCCCACCTCTAATGTTTTTATACATGTGTACTGTGTAACTTATTCACATTGATTAGTTTCATCGTTTGGTTGTTATTATTCTCTTGTTTCTTGTAGTATTTTTCGTATCATCAGTACTATTATAATTCGGATATAACAGTTGATAAGTTGGATAATTGCTTTGAATTTTTTGTTATAAGTATGATGTATGATTAAACTTGTTAAAACCAAGGAAGAAAGACTTATAACAAAATAAAAACGAAAATAAAAAAGACGTAAAACTAATAGCATTTACAGATAGTCATGGCGAAGACTAAATTTAAGGTTGATAAAAAATGCTGCTTAGAATAAAACTGATGCACCTGATAACCCCACATGAGTATATCTGTGGATGGTGATACAGAGGAGTGTGCGCGGTGTTGTGTGTGCAGTGCGCGTGTTGTGTTGTGTTGTGCGTGGTGTTGTGTGTGTGTGATGTGTGCGTGTGTGTGTGTGTTGTGTGTTGTGTGTGTTGTGTTGTGTGTGTGTGTGTGTGTGGTATGTGTGTTCTGTGTGTTTGTGTGTTCTGTGTGTGTTGTGTTGTGTTGTGTTGTGTTGTGTTGTGTTGTGTTGTGTGTGTGTGCTGTGTGTGGTGTGTGTGTGTGTTGTGTGTGGTGTGGGTGTGTGGGTGTGTGGGGTGTGTGTGGTGCGTGTGTGTGTGTGTGTGTGTGCGCGTGTGTTGCGTGTGTTGCGTGTGTGTCGTGTGTGTCGTGTGTGTTGTGTGTGTTGTGTGTGTGTGTGTGTTGTGTGTGTGTTGTGTGTGTGGATTGTGTGGGTTGTGTGGGTTACGTGGGTTGTGTGTGTTGCGTATGTTGTGTGTATTTGTGTGTATTTGTGTGTTTGTGTTGTCTGTGGTGTTTGTTGTATGAGCGCATGTATTGTGCGTCTGGTATCTAGATACCTCACGAAAAATGACGTTATTAATCTAGTCTGGCGGGTCGGATCGGGTCGCGATTTAATTTCGTAATTCTTGGCTAATTCATATTTTCTTTTAGAGCGCTATTTATTCTCTAAGTACTTGGAGTCGTCATTATTAGAATCGAAGATCTGAAATCATCCGTCATAGCTTGCGCGATTATTTTGAATATTTAGGATAAATGAAATACGTTTAGAATTAAGATCATTATAAAATTGATTCGATCTTGGAGTTTAGGATATATTAGTAATAAAAAATATATTTTTAAAATTATCGAATTTATTGATATTACTGATTCTTCGGATTAAGATAGATTAAAAATATTAATATATCGATTTCGAATTATTTATTTATATTAACGCAGTAGATATCATATTCTAATTAAGTTAAAGTACGCAGCTCCCAATATATAGCACGTAATATATAGCATTATACGATACTATATAGAATTTAATTGAGTTTGTGCACTATACATTCATTGCCGCGCATGAACTTCTGTAAATTTCTAGGAGATTCATCAATTCGTTTATCACTATTGGGAATGCACCCTCTGTTGCACATGTACAGGAAGCCATGACCATGACATGCATGTTGTGACTGCATTATATCCCGCTACCGTTAGGGCCCTTGAGTCATATCGAGATAGCTTCGCAGTTGGCGAAAAGATCCACTAGTTCTCAAACTGGCAGCGGAGCTAGGTACCCACGGGACCTGTATCTGTGCGGATCGCAGTAGCTGTATCTGTGCGGATCGCAGTAGTTTGTAGCCTGTGCTCAATACGTACCATTGCATACCTTCCTTTCAAATCTTTCCTTCCGAACCTTCGCCAAGCATGTCCGTGGCCGGTCTTCGGTACAGTCGCTCCACGTACTCGAGTACTCCCCTGGAGACTCGCAGCGGGAGCTACATTTATGGTGGCACCCCCAGTACGTTCCACGACTGGGAGTTTAGGACCTCTATGAGGCTTAAACTGAACGAAGATACTATCAGGAGCAAACCTAAGAAGACCGTGGAGCCAGAAGAAGAAGGCAGTGACGATGAGAGCCGCGTCGTGGAGCCGAGTCCGACTACGGGAGCCACTGCCCCTGTACCTTCCGAGGACAGGCCCGATATGGATGTAACCGAGGCAGCAGCAGCAGCCTCTGATGGTGGATCTCGCAAGAGACCATCCATACCGAAGTCATCCGACTCGGTCTCAGGACTGCCGGTTGCCGACGAAATGTCATCCTATGCGGTTAAAGCAAGAACCGAAATGGTGCATAAAGTGCTGGAAGGACTTCGGGACGAAGCCTTCGAATTCGCCCGGGATATCGGTATCGAATCCCTGACTGCCCCCGGTGGCCTCCGGGATTTCATCACCAAGTTGAGGAATGTTGTTTTCCCCCGTGCCACCGAAGAAGCTCGAGAGCTCTTCTGTGCGGGTCAGAAGCAGGGTGTCCTCGCACGCCAAGGCGGCGAGTCGATGCTGTCGTATGTCAGCCGACGACGACGCTGGTGGAAATTGCTCAAAACCTTAGACGCCAGCATCGAGCTTTCCGAGCCGATGCGTGTGGAGTTGCTGCTGGAGCTTTCTGGATTGACTCGGCAGGAATGCCTGGTCATCAAGGTGTGCACCACCAGCAACCGAAGCTTTGAGGCCGTCGCTGCTACCTTAGTGGAGCATTACAGCGGCGTCCACCTAAAGGAAGGTCGTTCCTTAGGTGGCGGTACCTTTCAGGACCGCCGACCGAATCACCATCCTGGTGCCCGCCGCGGCAACCCTAAGGGCTACGGTAAGAGTAAGTCTAAGGGTTTCAACCGTCGCGCCTACGTCGCTGAAGACGAGACGCAATACTACGACGACGCGCAACCAGACGAAGGCGACGACGCCGAAGAGTACGACGACACCTCGTACCCCGCCTTTGGGGACGAGGCTGAGTACGATCCTCACTCCTACCCCGCCGGGGAGGAGGAAGAGGACCCGGGCTACGAGGAATTCGAGCTCGAAGAAGAAGAGGCAACAGCCCTTAACTGCCTCGAGGAGCTCGATCCCGAGGATGCAGACAGCGGCCATGTAATCCAATTGCAGCTTGCCGCGAACGCCGCATTCGGAAAGGCGAAGGGGCGTAAGGGCAAGGGCCGCAAAGGAAAAGGGAAAGGTAAGGTAGTGCGATCACACCTTACGCTTGACGAACGTCGCGAGAAAATGAGAAGCCTGAAGGCTCGGTCGAAATGCCTCAGGTGTGGGGCTATTGGTCACTGGGCAGGTGATCCCGAGTGCAAGTTCCCTACCTCTAAAGGAGGGAAAGGAAAGCCCCGGGCCCACATCGCAATTGTGGAGCCGCGACAGGACCCCGACGGGGGCCTGTACGTTCCCTCAGGGAATGATGTGGACCCTAGTGGCCACATGGTGCGGGATCTAAGCAAGGCTAGTTCCAAGGCAGCCCCCTCACAGCCATCTAGCTCAATGCACATGAAGGGAGGCGACCGAAGATTTAGTCTCGGCCAGCATAAGGGCCAGACTTACGAGGAAGTATCCCGTAAGACGGAATTCGTGCGCTGGGCCCTCGTCCAGCCGAGTCCTGCCGCGCACCTTAGAGATTTCCTAACCTGGTTTAATAGGTATTACGCCATTCAACAGGGTGTAGGAGGTCAATATTATCGTGAAACTCGTGCCTCAATAGGTATCCCTGAGGGAACCTATAACCCTCGCCCGAGGGGAAAGGGCGCGAAGAAGAAGACACCACCGAACCCGCCTTTGGCGGAGAAGTGTGACTCGTGTACAAAATTCTCCTACCAAGGAAGTTCTGCCAATTACGTCCGCAAGACCTGTAGGGACTGCGGCCATGTATCCCAAGAAAAACGGGAACATGTATATACCGTAGACCCCGCTGTATGCTCACATGAGGCAACAGACCATCGGGGTAGTTCGAGGACAACGTCCCGAACCTTTTGCAGAATGTGTGGCACATTCGTCGATGAAGTGCCGCAGGAGTTTCACCGAGAACGGAAGGCCGTCTCGGAGCGCGTCTTGGAAGCGACAGACCTTGCGCTTCCTCTGGTTCAAGCGGTTACCGCTGACGACGCGACCGCCGACCTCGATCCCGAGGCGGTGTTGCAGATCATGGGTTTAATCCAGGATCGCATCAACCAGGCCATTGCGTTGGAGGAGCGTATTCACCCGACGGCGCTTCATTTGTGGCTAAAGGAAGCGATTACTATGGTAGTAGGATCTAGCCCCATAAGTCCTTCTTGGGAATTCGCCCCGACAGCAATGGTGGCCCGAGGGCGCAGCCCCGGGCGGAATAAAGGAAAAGGGAAGGCTAAGCAGTCTACCCCATCGGTTCCTGCTCCAGAGCCAGACCCGGCTCCAGAGCCTGAACCGACCGGCGCACCGGAGTTGTACAGCATCTCGGATCCCCTGGTGACCGATTCCTTTGTGCACAGCCGTGACCCAGATCTCGATCGCGATTATCAGGAAGCTATTCTATTAGAAAGCTTCAGGGCCGATGCCGAGTTGAACGACCCGTTCCCGGGTGGTTCGTCAGACGATGGATCGCCAGGATCCTACAACGTCGCGGAACTGGACGATTATATCGCCAGACAGGCTCAAGAGGACCTGGACGCGGCCTTTGAGCGAGCGCACCAGCAAACCCAAGATGATGCTGAAACCGACAGCGTGACACCTCCTGTCTCAGCATCGGCAGCTCAAAACCGCCTGCAAGTGCGACACGTTCCCGGAAGGGAGCTTATGCAGTTGGACTTCCAGGCACGCCAACGACAGGGAACCGAACCGGTCCCTTGGTGGGAAGAGCCAACAGCCCGAGATCGGGATCTCCAGAATATCCCTCGCCATGATGCTTGGAGGCGCCGGCGCGAACAAATCCTGGCC